GCTGAGGCGAGCCCGCCAAACTCCCCTCCCCCCTCCGTCCGCGACCCCCCGCACCTCGCCCCCTCCCGCCCCTCCTCCGCCTCGGTGCCCGGCGCGGCCCCGGACCACTATGACCATGAGATCCGCAGTGTTCAAGGCGGCCGCGGCCCCTGCCGGCGGCAACCCTGAGCAGCGACTGGACTACGAGCGGGCTGCGGCGCTGGGCGGGCCCGAGGACGAGCCCGGGGCGGCCGAAGCCCACTTCCTTCCCCGGCACCGTAAGCTCAAGGAGCCGGGGCCCCCGCTGGCCTCCTCCCAGGGCGGTAGCCCCGCGCCCTCCCCGGCCGGCTGTGGCGGCAAGGGCCGGGGTTTGTTATTCCCGGCCGGGGCGGCCCCCGGGCAGCAGGAAGAGAGCTGGGGCGGTTCGGTGCCCTTGCCCTGTCCGCCCCCGGCTACCAAACAAGCCGGCATCGGTGGGGAGCCGGCGGCAGCCGGCGCCGGCTGCAGCCCCCGACCCAAGTATCAGGCGGTGCTGCCCATTCAGACAGGCTCGCTCGTGGCGGCGGCCAAAGAGCCTACGCCCTGGGCTGGGGACAAGGGTGGGGCGGCTCCGCCGGCTGCCACCGCCTCGGACCCGGCGGGACCCCCGCCACTACCTCTGCCCGGGCCGCCACCACTCGCGCCCACCGCTACCGCTGGGACCCTGGCGGCCAGCGAGGGCAGATGGAAGAGTATGAGGAAGAGCCCTCTCGGGGGTGGCGGCGGTTCGGGAGCCTCCAGTCAGGCCGCCTGCCTCAAACAGATACTTCTGCTGCAATTGGACCTCATCGAGCAGCAGCAGCAGCAGCTGCAGGCCAAGGAGAAGGAGATCGAGGAGCTCAAGTCCGAGAGAGACACGGTACGCGAAGGGTTAATCGGCGTTCGGGACGAGGAGCAAGTTGTGCGCATGCTCGGGGGAAGGGGGACTGTGGAAGGCTTAGGTCTCCCTTGGTGAGGGGTAGAGGAGGTTGGCCACCAGCAAAGGAGTATCTTAGGTGCCGGGTGCTGCGGAGCCGAGCTCCCAGACACGTTGGGTCGGAGCGAAGGGGTTAAAGGGCAAACCTCCCAGGGGGAGGGGGGGAGGGGTGGTTTCGGGCGCCTAAGGGTTAATTTAAAATGACAGCCCTAGACTTGTGGGAAAGACGTTTAGAATGGGGAAAGACTTGATGTGTGAGGGGTTAAAAAATGAAAGGGTTGGGGTGGAGATGTGGTGGCTGTGTGGAAGGGGTTAAGTTAAAGAGCTATTGCGTTAGTAATGGATTGTGGAGGGGAGGCCCGTGGCAGCTGTTGCTCTAACCAGTGCTGCAGCATCTTTATGGACAGGAGGGTCATAGGCCCTTCAGCGGGCAGAGGAGTAGAAGTGAATTACATAGAATCCTATTAGCTTCCTTAAATGATGTTATGAGAATCACTGCCTTTGGTTTCAGACAGTTTTAATAGAAATTTAAGTTATAAAACATAACCCACTGACCCAGGTCCCTTGAATAAGCATGGTGTTTGAAGCTGGAAGATTTTAAGGCCATCAGGGAAAAGTAAGCTTATTCAATATATTAAATAGATTCATTCTCCAAAATCACTGTTGGAGAATCTAGCCACCCGTAGTAGAGAAGTCTGTTAATATTTCTTTGTACTTCTTGTACATAGGCTTGTTTTACTGCAGCAGTAGTTAAAATGCATCTCAGCCTTAAAACATACTCCTTCAGATATCAAGGAAGCTGGGGTGGTGGGGTTTTACTGTGCTAGTGTACCTGCCTAAAAATAAACATGGTTTCTACAATGGTTGGGTTCTGACTACTGCAGTTTCTCTCTCTCTCTCTCTCTCTCTCCCTCTCCCTCTCTCTCCCTCTCTCTCCCTCCCTCCCTCCCTTCTCCCCCCTCTCTCCTTTTCTCCCTCTCTCTCCCCCTCCCCTCTCCCCTCTCCCTCTCCCTCTCCTCTCCCTCTCGGTCTCCTCTCCTCCTTCCTCTCCCTTTCCCTCTCTCTCCCCCTCTTCCCTTCCCTCCCCCCTCCTTCCCTCCTCCCTTCCCTCCTCTCTGTCTCTCTCTGATGCACCAAGGGCTGAGCTAGAGATCAGAGGCTATTCATTTGTTTGCTTTCCAAATGAATCTCATCAGGCTGCTTTTTTTTTTTTAATTGAAGAATGCATTCTGCAAGGTGGAATGGAAGCTGGGGCAGGTCTTATGAAAATATTGTGTGTTGATTTGTGGAAGTTACTCAATATGGTGGTGCCACTGCCTAGGTACTCTACTGCAGTCTTGGGGGTGTGATGGTACTATAGTTACAACAACACATATCCTTCCATAGGGAGGGGATGGGAAGAAGGACCAGTGAAGGAGGAAGAAATTAAGGAAATAACACCCACAAATTGTGGTTAACTAATGCTAAGGCTGTGAATCAAAACAGATAAAAGAAGATGAAATGAGAATATGTCTGACAAGTGGGGCTCTACTGACTGTGGTGGCTTCTGCTGGGTTACTTAGGTAATATCCCCTTTGCAGGATTCCCTAGGTAGGGAAAGTGGGGTGATTAAGGAAAGTATGGGTCTAAACTTGGCATTCACTGCTTCTGTTGTGTATTGCAGTCCTAGCATTACTTAAGATTGTTTCTCTTATTCCAGTCATTGTTTGGCTTCTACTGAAATCTATGCAATGGATGTAATGAAGGCAGAATTAATAACACTGTATAACCCTGACCAAATTCTTGTAGTATGGTGTAAGTAGCACGTTTCCTCAGAAGTTGAGTTAATGTGAAGTTTTTGATGACAATAGACTTCCATTTTCTCTTTGATATGTAGTCCTCTTTTAATTAGAACGAAATGATATTAATATTAAGGAATATTTAGGTAAATATTTTTTCTTTCAAATGCAAAGCATTATGTATATGTCATTATTTGCTAGGATTTATACTACTGATTTTTGTTTTTTTTTTCCCTCTGGTCCTGGAACTTGAACTCGGTGTGGGTGCTGTGTCTGGGCTCCTGTTGGCCTACCACTTGATCCACAGCTTCACTCTGGGCTTTTTGGGTACTCAATTGGAGATAAGAATCTCAAAGACTTTCTTTCCAGTGCTGGCTTTCAGCCACCATCTTCAGATCTCAGCCTCCTGAGTAGTTAGGATTATAGGTGTGAGCCACTGGCGCCCAGCTTATATTACTGATTGCTCATAGTTTTTTTTTTTGGTCTGGTCATGGAGCCTGAACTCTGGGCCTGGGCGCTGTCCCTCAGCTCTTCAGCTCAAGGCTAGCACTCTACCACTTGAGCCACAACGCCACTTCCAGCTTTTTTTTCTGCTTATGTGGTGCTGAGGAATAGAACCCAGGGCCTCAAGCATGCAAGGCAAGCGCTCTACCACTGAGCCACCTTCCCAGCACCTCTCATAGTTTTTTCAAATGGAATATTCATTGTTTTAGAAGTACTCTCCCCACCCCCTCACACTTTCAAAGAGTATTGCCAACCCAAGTGATACTATAAGTTCTTGATTCCCTCTCTATGTACTATTTTGGGCAAACTTGAAGTCCCCTTAAAAAACACAAGGCTGGGCTTATAGGTTAGTAGTAGAGTGCTTGCCTACCAAGCTTCCTGGCCCAGCTTCTGTCCTCAGTATTGCATGTGCATGTGCGTGCGCACACACACACACACACACACACACACACTCGGAGAACATATATGGTGTTAATTCTGGGAACTCCCAAACTGCTTTGGAGCCACATAGTTAGCAATACCAGATACCATGCCACTAAAAGACATGCTGTGGCCTCTACCCATGTAGAGGATCTTACCGAATATTGAACTATAATATACTCCTTCATACCTCTTACCATCTAGGCTAACCCCTAAAATTAAAACATATGCCTGTCTTCTCTATTGAGTTTAAGAAAAACTATAGAGTTCAGTTAATAGGAACTACAAAAAAATGCTGAGGGCTGTGCTGATTCCTAAGTGGACTCTTGTGTGTGTTAAGCCTACGTTTTGTCACTTTCTTTTAGCTCCTTGCTCGGATTGAACGTATGGAAAGGCGGATGCAACTGGTAAAGAAGGATAACGAGAAGGAAAGGCACAAGTTGTTTCAGGGCTATGAAACTGAAGAGAGAGAGGAAACTGAGCTATCTGAGAAAATTAAATTGGAGTGCCAGTCGGAGCTTTCTGAGACATCCCAGACTCTGCCTCCCAAGCCTTTCTCCTGTGGGCGGAGTGGAAAGGGACATAAAAGGTGTGCTAATAACTTCGTTCTACTGTCTGGACATGATGAAAACACTTCTTACAGTGACTGAGTGTAGGGATTGAAATTTATGGATTGGTTTTAATAGCAACCTTAGCCTGAATTACCAAGTCTTCTCTGTCAAAACTCTCTTGCAGCAGGCTATTTAAAGTCTCTTAGGAACATTTGGTCACAGTAGTAAGAACAAAATGCAGAATATGTCATAAAGAGAATTATGCTGTAAGAAATATAGTATTTTTTATGTTATAGCAGTTTACTTAAAGTTAGAAAATGTAAAGTTAGGGGCTAGGAAGGTGGCTCAGTGGTAGAGTGCTTGCCTTGCATGCCTGAGGCCCTGGGTTCGATTCCTCAGCACCACATTAAAAGAAAAAGCTGGAGCTGGGAAGGTGGCCTAGTGGCACAGTGCTTGCCTAGCATTCGTGAGGCCTTGGGTTCGATTCCTCAGTACCACACAAGTAAAAAAAAAAAAAATAAGAATAAAAGAAAAAGCTGGAAGTGGAGCTGTGGCTCAAGTGGTAGAGTGCTAGCCTTGAGCTGAAGAGCTCAGGGACAGCACCCAGGCCCAGAGTTCAGGCTCCACAACCGACAAAAAAAAAAAAAAATACTTGTTTTATAGGATTCACAGATAATAAACATATTAATAATTGTGAAACTTGAAGGAGGAAATGGATCATGAAAAAGATGCATAGGGGGCTGGGAATGTGGCTTAGTGGTAGAACACTTGCCTAGCATGAATGAAGCCCTGGGTTTGATTCCTTAGTACCACATATACAGAAAAAAAACTGAAGTGGCACCATGGCTCAAGTGGTAGAGTGCTACCCTGGAGCAAAAGAAGTTGAGGGACAGTGTCCATGTCCTGAGTTCAAGCTCCAGGATTGCCAAAAAAAAGAAAAAAGAAAAACAGAATTTAGGTTGGTTAATGAGGAAAGATAGAATGATTGTCAAGGCCCTGAGTTCAAACTCAAATTATCCCCCCCCAAAAAACAAAAAACCACATAGATTATTAACGTGCAACAGGGTAAATTATTAAAATAGAGTGGTGAGTCTCTGGTCAACACAATGACACAGAGTGATAGCATCTAATGTTGACTAAAAAACTTGAAGAAAAAGTGTGTGTGTGTGTGTGTATACTTAGCTGTACTAGGGGCTTGAACTCAAGCACTTGGAGCTGTCCCTTTTTCACTCAAGGCGGGTGCTCTACCACTTGAACCATGACACCACTTCTAGCTTTCTGGTGCTTAATTGGAGATAAGAGTCTCATAGACTTTTCTATCTGGGCTGACTTTGAATCTTGTTACTTAGATATCAGCCTCCTGAGTAACTAGGATTACAGGCATGAGCCACCAGCTCCTAACTCTATTAGAGATTCTTTTTTATTTTATTTATTTTTTTGTTTTGGTCCGGTCGTGGGGCTTGAACTCTGGGCCTTAGCTCTTCAGCTCAGGGCTAGCACTCTACCACTTGAGCCACAGCGCCACTTCCAGCTTTTTTTTTCTGCTTATGTGGTGCTGAGGAATCGAACCCAGGGCCTCATGCATGCAAGGCAAGCGCTCTACCACTGAACTGCCTTCCAAGCCCTCTATTAGAGATTTTTAAATGTGGGATCTTGTTTTTTTATTTACTAAGGTCCTAGTATATGTACTGTTAATCATAAGGTGGTTTCTGCTCATGACTTCCAAATTAGCACCAAATATGTAAGCACTCTGGGCATTGATCATTATGGAGCAAGGAAACAGACTATTTCTTTTGCCTCTAAACATATTTAGGTCAGGTTTTATTCAAGAGTCATTAAATCTTACAACATTTTCTTTCCTATCTAATAGGAAAACCTCATTTGGAAGTACAGAAAGAAAGACTCCAGTAAAAAAGCTGGCTCCTGAATTTTCAAAAGTCAAAACCAAAACTCCTAAACACTCTCCCATTAAAGAGGAACCGTGTGGTTCCTTATCTGAAACTCTTTGTAAGCGTGAATTGAGGAGCCAAGAAACCCCAGAAAAGCCCCGGTCTTCAGTGGACACCCCACCAAGACTCTCCACTCCCCAAAAGGGACCCATCGCCCATCCCAAGGAGAAAGCCTTCGCAAGCGAGATAGAAGATTTGCCGTACCTTTCTACCACAGAAATGTATTTGTGTCGTTGGCACCAGCCTCCCCCATCACCATTACCATTACGGGAATCCTCTCCAAAGAAGGAGGAGACTGTAGCAAGTAAGGCATAGAGAACACTTGCTCTTATACCCTAGTGGTGGCGGTCAAGCTAACAAGTGTGAAAATGCCTTTGGCATTTTTTTTTAAAGTGCAATCAATAAAGCAGAGTTCTGTCAAGAATGAGTAAGTTAACAGCCAGAGACAGACACTGTGCAGGCATTGCAAATAGATGGAATTACAGCAAAATGTGCTCAATGTATTTGCCTGCTTACAACACTGGGAGATGTGTTTGCCAGTAAGTTGCTCATCACAAGAGCATCAGACTTGGGGGGTGTAATCTCCGGCAACTTGCATGCCCTCTTGAAAGAAGGGTTTTCTGTGCTGTGAAATGCATAGAACTTACACTTTGCCATGCACGACTGTTCCTGAAATTGATATTATGTGAAACGTGGGAGGGTGGTCTTTGGGTGTTCTCAGGGGCCAATGGTAATTTTTGGTTGGGGAGCCAGGTTGGGGTGGGGAATTTCATCTGGGCCTCCACTCTTAACTATATAAACATTTATCTGTATCTCTATGTCCCGGTCTGGGGGCAGGAGGAATCTGCCAAAGACCAACAGTCTTACTTAATCTTACTATACTTCACAAAGGTTCTAAAATGTGAAGAGTTTACTTGGATTGCAGTAGCCCATTGGTTGTTCATATATTTAAATAAAATGGTCTACAAACTATTTTTCAAACAATAAGGACTATCTTGGGATATCTGAGCTGCTTGGGGGGGTGGGGTCTGGGACTTGGTTTTCATTCCCTTTTTTTTTCCTTTATGGCTTCCACACAGAGATGCTCCCCTATCTCCTACATCAACTATTAACTGGAATGTGTCTTCAATGTATACTACTAGTCTGGGACAGTCACTGTGGGTGCCTTGGGTTACGGTGGGGAAAGCCTTCTTGGATAGAGCCTCAGACATGAGTTTCTATCCCTTGCCTTGTCCTAGCAGGGATGGGGATGGGAATCCATTCCAATAAGATGGGAGCATTCTCCAGGCTTTGTTTGGCTGTTGTGGTGACAACATTAAGTGGGGAAGATAGATTCATTTTCTGATATTTATTAGGCCTCACACTTGAATATATGAGACAGGCTAGGATCCTGATCTAGATTCAGATTTTTCTGTTGTTTCAGTCAGTTGAAGGTTCATCCCTAATGGCTAACCTTTTTGCTGCTATGGCAATGCTGTATAACAACTTAAGAGAAACCATGAAGCAACTTCCCATCCGGAATTGGGAAATGGCTTGGTCTGGAGATACTCTATGTGACTGGCTGTTTTTGAAAACCCTGTATGCCCTAGTAAAGCAAGTTCTAAATACCTTTGAGATTGTGGGCCTGACCATTTGAAGGAGTGTGACTGGGGATATCCTAGTCCCTTGAGCCTGAGTTCCAAATAACATGTGAATCCTTGTTCTTGGTCCCTGTATCTCAAGAGGAATCTCAATGGCTTGTTCTAAGGAAGCCAAAGTCTTTGTGCATGTTGTTCAGGCTGGACCAGCAAGGTAGTTTGTTTGGAGGGAGGAGGGAGCTGTTTAAGAAGACTACATATGTAAGTTTTGAGAACATTGATCTTTTATTTGAAAAATAGGGTCAACTTTTACTCACCTGCCATGTTCTGAGTTTTAAGGTTTGATATCCTTGGCCATCAACTGTTGCAGGGAAACCACCCTAAATAATGAAGAAAAGAAGTCGTCTCAGTGTAAAAAAAAAAGTGGTGGGCTTATTTTCTTTTCTTTTGTCTGTTGTTCCCTTTTCCCCTCCCCCAGAGAGAAATTCTCAAAACAACTCAAAAAACAAAATGGCTTCCTAAGTGAGAACTTCAGTGATGATCCTTTCCTCCATTTTGGGTATGGGCTTTTTTTCTTTTACACTGAGATGATTCTTCTTTCCTGCATTATTTAGGGTGTCTGATGCCATCAAGTGTTGCAGGAGAAACTTCAGTCTTGGCTGGTGAGTAGAATAGGAATTGTGCTGGCTGGGCCTGGGGTGGAGGTTGGTGGGATGGTGGCTGGTTGGGAAGCTGAATTCCCCATCTGTTGGATGTGGGAGAGTGAGATTCCTTGGTGTTTGATTGATTACTTTACCATAGACTTCAAAATGACAACAAATTTCAGTTGTTTTTCAGGAACTGCAATAGCATCCATTATGTGAATTGTCAGGTATTGGCTTAGGGTTTTTTTTTTGTGTTCCCGAGTTTGGTAGACTACAATGGCATTTTAGGTACTTTTATATCATAGCAAGGAAACTGAATATGGCTTCAGGCGAGGCCATAGAATGGATTCCTATCACTTGGTAACTTTATCTTACCTGGGGAGAGATCTTTTATCCTAGTGAATAGTTAGAGGGTTTTTAAGACTTTGGATTTAAGGGTGGTTCCACCCCTCCTCTCTTTCTTTTTCTTTTTCTTTGTTTTTTCAGTTCCTTCTTGGAGGGACCACTTGGTAGAGCCTCTAAGGGACCCAAATCCTTCAGACATTTTGGAGGTGAGTATTAAGAGCTCATCATGAAAGAGAGTAAGAGATTGAATAAAATGTTGTGGGGGTTTTCAGCCAGCCATGGTGACTGGTATCTATAATCCTAGCTACTTTGGGTACTGAGGCAAGAAGGTTGCTTAGCCCAGAACTTTGAGGCCAGCCCAACTACAAACAAATGGAGGGGCACAATTTTGTGGATGTTATGTACATTTTTTGATGTATTAAGTACAACTTTATTTATTTTGGGAGGGCAAATTTTAGGGCTTGAACTCAGGGGCTGAGGACTGTCCCTGAGTTTTTTTTGCTCAAGGCTAGCACTCTACCTCTTGAGCCACAGCACTACTTCTGGCTTTTTCTGTTTATGTGGTACTGAAGAATCAAACCCAATGGCTTCATGCATGCTAGGCAAGCACTCTACCACTGAGCCACATTCCCAGTCCTTAAATAAAACTTCTTCTTTTTTTTTTTTTTTGCTGGCCATGAGGCCTGAACTCTGGGCCTGGGCACTGTCCCTCAGCTTTTCAGCTCAAGGCTAGCGCTCTACCACTGGAGCCACAGCACCACGTCCGGGTTTTTCTGTTTATGTGGTGCTGAGGAATCGAACCCAGGGCCTCATGCTTGCAAGGCATGCACTCTACCGCTGAGCTACCTTCCCAGCCCCATTAAATAAAACTTCTAAGTCCAGAAAGGAACTTGTGTATTTGAATTTATCTAGTCTAATTCCATTTCATATGAGAAAGTCAGGATCCAGAGTGTATTACTCAAAAATAAGTAGCTGGACTGGGAAGGTGGCTCAGTCGGAGAGTGCTTGCTTGCCTTGCATGCATGAGGCCCTGGGTTTGATTCCTCAGCACTACATAAGCAGAAAAAGCAGGAAGTGGCGCTGTGGCTCAAGTGGTAAAGCGTTAGCCTTGAGCTGAAGAGCTGGGGGACAGCTCCCAGGCTCAGGCTCAGAGTTCAGGCCCCATGACTAAAAAAAAAAAGTAGCTGCCTGACATAGGTTGCTTTTACAATCCCAGTTATGTAGAAGGCGTGAGATCTGAAGATCACAATTTGAAGCCAGTCAAGTCTGAAACTCTTACCTCTAATGAACCCCCAAAAAGCTGAAAGTAGAGCTGTGGTTCAAGTGGTAGAACACTAGCCTTGAGCAAGAAAACTCAGCACATAAGGCCTTGAATTCAAGCCCCAGACTAAGTTAAAAAAAAAAAAAACAAGCCTGGAAAATGTTGAAAACAAGGAAGGTTTCATGCCAAGTAGAAAAGTATACTACTCAGCAACACAATTACATATTCTGAGCTCATTTGACTAAAAAATTATTTTTTTTGTTGGTCGTGGGGCTTGAACTCTGGGCCTGGGTGCTATCCCTCAGCTCTTCAGCTCAAGGCAAGCGCTCTACCCCTTGAGCCCACAGCACCACTTCTGGTTTTCTAGTAAGGTTTATTGGAGATCAGAGTCTCACAGACTTTTCTGCCCGGGCTGGCTTTGAACCCTGATCCTCAGATCTCAGCCTCCTGAGTAGCTAGGATTACAGGCGTGAGCTTCACTAAAAAATTTGATAGCTGAACTCTGAGCATACGTAGGTAGGGAAAATTGATGGCAGTCTCAAGTGTTTCAGTTCTGTGTGGCGAGCTTTTCACTGATTACTTGGAAATAGAGTCTCACAAACTTATACCCAGACTGGCTTTGAACCTTGATCCTCTGGGTCCCAGCCTCTTGAGTAGCCAGGATTACTGGCATGAGCCATCTGTCTACCTTGATAGCTGTGTCATTTACCTTGGAAAATGGGAATGATTTTGAAATTTGTAGTTTCTGAAAGAATGTAGGTGACAAAAAGACTGGAAGTAGGAAGTTTTATGAATATAATATGGTGATGAATAGCTTATTACTGCTGTTCCTTAACCAGAACCTGGATGACAGTGTGTTTTCAAAGAGGCATGCAAAATTGGAGCTGGATGAGAAGAGAAGGAAAAGGTAAGGCACAGATGTCCATCATGGGAACAGCTGATCCCCAGCACTCTGAGCTCCCTCTTCCATGTTGTAGACAGCTCTGTAGCTCTTTACACTCCATTATTGACTTCTCAATAAGTTGAGTATCTTAGATGCAAGTGATAGTTGTAAGTAAACATATTTAGCTTCTTTTTTCTTTTTTTCTTTGTGGCTTGAACTCAGGACTTAGTGCACTGTCTCTGAGCTTTTGTGCCCAAGGCTTATGCTCTCCCACTTGAACCACAGCTCCACTTCCAGCTTTTTGGTAGATAATTGGAGATCAGAATCTCAGATTTTCCTGGCCAGGCTGGTTTCAAATCATGATCCTCAGATCTTAGCCTCCTGAGTTGTTGGTGTGGAGCTTGAACTCTGGGCTTGGGCGCAATCCCTGCGCTTTTCAGCTCAAAACAAGCACTCTACCCCTTGAGCCACAGCACCACTTCTGGTTTTCTAGTGGTTAGTTGGAGATGAGAGTCTCACGGACTTTTCTGCCCAGGCTGGCTTTGAACTGTGATCCTCAGATCTCAGCCTCCTGAGCAGCTAGGATTACAGGTGTAAGCCACCAGCTCCTGGCTTCTCCTTTTCTTATTATATGCCCTTCAGTTCTACTTTCTGTGGAACACCAACACATAATCTGGATTGCTAGACCTTAACCAAGCAGTCAGCAGTCTCTTTATCCCTCCTAGAAGAGTCAATAAGTATCTTCCTAGCATCTGGATTGTGTGAGTTGGGTTTATAGAACAAATTTGGGATAAGCAGTAATGTGTTTGTTTTGTGTGTCTGTTTTTTCCCAGATGGGATATTCAAAGGATCAGGGAACAAAGAATTCTACAACGACTGCAGCTCAGAATGTATAAAAAGAAAGGAATTCAGGAATCTGAGCCTGAGGTTACCTCATTTTTCCCTGAGCCAGATGATGGTAAGTTTTACTTCTCTAAAAAAGTAAGTTTTTTCAAAAAGAGGGGTATATAAACTCCAGAATATAATTTATTCTAATCAGTAAACTATTTTGGTGCCATTATTGTTACTAGATATTTTCCGCCAGTGTCACTAACAAGATCCCATTTGACTTTCTTCCATAGTTGAAAGTTTGATGATTACCCCCTTCTTGCCTGTTGTAGCATTTGGACGACCATTACCAAAATTAACTCCACAGTAAGTATAAAGGACTTCCCCTCCCCTTTACTTTGTGGTCTGTACCTCTTTTCAGACTCCAGAAGTAGAGGGTCAAACCAAATAGCCTAAGGATAACCATGATTCTACGATAGATGTGAGGCTACCTGAACAACAGCCAGGAATTTCTTTTTGTCCAAGAAATAGACTAATCTGTTACTTTAATAGTATATGGACTATTCCTGTGGCCTTTAGGCAAGAAAAACACTTGAAACTTGGGTTTCAAGAGTGAATACTAGATGGAAGTGGTGCTGTGGCTTAAGTGATAGAGTGCTAGCCTTGAGCTGAAGAGCTGAGGGACAGCACCCAGGCCCAGAGTTCAATCCCCACAACTGACAAAAAAACAAAAACAAAAACACACCTCAAGAGTGAATACTAGAAATGATGAGAGGCATGAGGTCATTATGGAGATACTATCTTGTCATATTGAATCTCTTATAGTTTTCTTGTTTGTTTGTTTTGTTCTGTGCCATCCTGAGGCTTGAAATCAGGGCCTGGACACTTGTCCCTGAGCTCTTTTTGCTCAGGGCTAGTGCTCTACACTTTTTTTTTTTTAATTGGTTCTGGGGCTTGAACTCTGGGCCTGGGTGTTGTCCCTGAGCACTTCAGCTCAAGGTAAGTGCTCTACCACTTGAGCCACAGCACTACTTCTGGTTTTCTGGTGGTTAATTTTAGATAAAAGTCTCACAGACTTTCCTGTGTGGGCTGGATTTTGAACTGCAGTCCTCAGGTCTCAGCTTCCTGAGTAGCTAGGATTACAGACATGAGCCACTGGCGCCTGGCTAGTGCTCTATAACTTTGAGCTACAAGCTCTACTTCCAGTTTTCTGGTGGTTGACTGGAGTCTCATAGATAAAGAGTTTCATAGATTTTCCTGCCCAGGCTGGCTTTGAACCACGGTCCTCAGATCTCAGCCTCCTGAGAAGCTAGGATAACAGTCATGAGTTACTAGCACCCAGCCCCTTCTAGTCGTGCAATTGATTGCCTCATCATCTTTCCCAGAAATTTTGAGCTGCCCTGGTTGGATGAGCGTAGCCGATGCAGGTTGGAGATCCAGAAGAAGCAAACACCTCACCGGACGTGTAGGAAATAGCTGTGCTGGCAAGAACTCTGTCTTCAGATAGTTGTAGCATGCCATTCCCAGAGAGTGGCAGAGACCTGTATATGTGACCTATGTCCTCATGTATGTTATCATTTGCTGATAATGCCCTTCCGTACTCTCTTGCTTTTAGTTTTGTTTTCATCACTCTGGATTCACAAAAACTCTTTCAATGGGCTAATTGTGAATTAGGGTGATAGGGATTTCTTTTCCCTTTTTGGGGAAATGAGCTCTCAAGCTAAATCTATAGGATGGTAGATTGGGAAGTTCCAGGGATCATTTCTACACATTTGCCTATGTTAAAGGTGTACAAGGGCTCTCTTCATTCAACATGTGGAAGATGAGGCAACCCTTTCCATTAGGAGCTATGCCTGCCTGGCATTCTTGCTCTGGATACATCCTATGTATAGTTTGTGCATAGTGGTTTTTACCTTCACCATGAGCTTTAGGACCAGATGAGGAATAAATAACAGTGAAGTGATAAAGCAAGTCGTCTTCACAGAATAAGATTGAAATTGGAGAGTTGGTAGATAAATATCTGAAAAGATAATTGTTCTCTTCAAACTATTCTGTGATATAGTCATATAAGAAGGGATGTGTGGTTGTGACTTTTCTTTATTAGTTAATGCTTAACTGAAGTTCTTCCCTCATACCTCAAAAACCATAATCTTTGGAAAGGAGAATGTGATGTTCATTTCAGACAGTTACAGTGCTAAACAGAAAAGCATTTCTCATGTGAGGATGGTATGCCAGAACCTGTACATGTCCTAGTGTCACATCACTTCTCAAGTATGTCTTAGTTGGGTTTTATCCTCTTTGCTGAGCTCTTGGTGGTGGGGTAGAGATTTAAGGAGGGCAGGGAGTGCAGAATATGTACTTCCTTTGGCTGGCAAATGTCTACATCTTGAAACAAATATGTCTCTAATGAGCTTCTCCATTCATTTTGTAAAAAATAGATTTGTATGTATACCATCTTGGTCACCTTCCCCTGCCCCCATTTTGTTAAAAAGAAATGTAAAGACAGAACTCCCAGGCTACTTTGGTCTCAGTGCAAGATCCCCATTAACTATCTGGGGAAAAAAAAATAGAGCCAAGACCTCTGGTCTTATATATATAGGAATTGCCTTTCTTTAGTCTTCAGGACTATTGTGTGAAAACGAGTAGGGGTCTAATCTCCTAGAAGGTAGGGGCTTTTATCCTTAAAGAGAATATGTCCCCAGATTATTAGCACTTTTAGAGGAGAAGCCAAGGTATGTAAGGTGTGTGGCAGGCCCATCAATGGAGCATGAGAGAGAATGGGATATCGTGAGAAGTTCCTCAGGGGCCTTCCACTGCTACAAGCTTTTTGTGAGATGTTGATCTGTGCTCCCTGGGTTTGACTTTGAAAAGAATTATTCTGGCAGCACGTGTAGTATTCTTGGATGACCTTGTTGCTCTTATTTCTCTTTATTCATTTGTGTGTATGAGTGTGTGTGTGTGTGTGCGCGCGTGTGCGGTTGTGGGTTTTCATTTGTAATTCCATCTGCTTAGGAGAATGGGCTCTATAAGGGAACCTGCCATAAGCTCCATTGCAGCAAGGATGTAAAGGATTTATTCTACTAGGGGCTCTCATCTCACACCTTAACGATAAGATTTGTTTAAAAAGAAGAAAAGAAAAGAAACAAAACTGGGCCAGATTTTTTTTGTTTTCTATTATTTTAATGTGGCAAGCTGTTTAGCCTTCCTACTCTGACCTATGTTGTTTTTTATAATGTACCCCCAAAGGAAAATATGCTCATGTCTCTTTGCTTTGTTCCTGTATTTCTCTCAGTTTCTTCTTGATTTCCTCATTTGTCAGATTCCTAATTTTGGGTGTGAATTAACAAATTTAGCCTTTATGTTTCTGCCCTATACATGGAACTCCTCAGATACTTCTTTTGCTAGACTGAGAGGAATCCATGAGGTGCTATCTGGCCAGACTTAAATGGATTTTATTTCCTTGGTTCTCCTTTATTTTACTGCCCCCGTTTCTAGATCTTCTTTGATTTGGATATGTTGGGGTTTGTTGAGAATGAGGCTGGACAAAGTTTAAAGAGTGAAATTACAGTGTGTTAGAGCGTGAGGGGAAAATTAGTCTTATTTTTCCCTACATGGGATATAACACTGTGAAATTCAGTCTTTAACTGAAGACCCTGCAATTCTCCTAAAACATAGTTCCTTATTTCTTTAACAGAGTTTAAGCTAGTGTTAATAAATTAAGAGAAATTGCTTGTCTGTCCACCTCAGCTTTGTTTTATGCCCATTTCATATTGTTGTCTGTGTTGTAATTCATACTTTTGATACCATTTCTGATGTGTAAAATTGGTTGTCTTGTAAATATCTTATAAAGAGTTCAATTGTAAATAAACTATTGTGGCTGTTAACTTTTGAATTTCTGCCTCAATTTATTAGATTTCTTGGGAAACAAGAAATCAATCTGCTTTAAATGATTGGGAAAAGATCTAATTTCCACAATAAAATATAACACATTATTTCCCCCTCTTACAAGGTACTCACTTACATTTGCACCTGAATGCGATATATGTTTCATCCTTCTTTGTCCAAAGCCCTTCTTTTTTTTTTTT